GTCATAACCAACCAACCATTAAACTAAATTTTTATTAAAGAACCATAATTTTAAAAAATACATTCATAATTTTAATGTATAAAAAAATAAAATTAATTTAAATATTTCCTTTAAATTTATGTGTAATTTATAATTTAAATTCATTTATTTATTACTTAATTAAATTCATTGTAAATATATTTGTAAGTTAAAGTAAATATGATTTAAATTCATTTGGAAAGTAAGCAATTTATAGAAAATATGTAATATTTTCGAGAAAATATAAGAAATAAATAACAAAATTGAATAAAAGAATTACAATACATTTATTTTTATTGCCTTTAAAATAAAAAAAATTATAATAATAAAATAAAAATTTGGGCGTCCGTTCGTTTGTTTGATCGCTCCTTAGTAACTGTAATAAGCGTTACAGGATAACTTAATAAAAAGTCTATTGGATCATGAGAAATTCATCATTAGTAAATATATTGAGTAAAGATAATCACATAATCAAGATTATTTGATTAATTGCTGTTAGAGATTTGATCACTTCATGATATGGTTGACAATTAAGCAGTTACTTGTTGTTAGAATTTATATAATAATAAAAAAATAATAATAATTAAATAATATATGCTAATAAAGATTTTCTTAAATTTCATAATAAACATTAAAAATATTTATTTTATAAATTTTATTAAGGTAATTTGCTTAAGTGAAACAATTATGGAAAAGACTAAATTGTTCATAATGCACTTTTGTACAATAAAAATCTTATAATTAAAGAAAATTGTTAATTATATTATATAATTTAATTATGTAAAAACATTATCGTACAGAAATGAAGGTTTTTATTTAAGAAATTAATTTATGATACAAAAAAAATGATTTATTACACACAACTCTTAATTTTATTTATTTATTTATAATGAATTTTTAAACATTTGTAAATAAAAAACAATAAAAAGCATTTAACCCCCTTATAAATACTGCGTTTAAGTCTATAAAGGACTATTTATAAGCATAGAAATCTATAAATAAATATAAAAATTATAAAATAATACTTTTAAATAAGAATTATTTTGTTTGATTTTTATGTTTTATTTATGTATTTAAGATAAAAATGGGTCTTTTATATTACTATAATGAGGCACGAAATTTTATAAAATTACAACATAAATAAATGTTATAAGGATTTAATTAAGTTTTTTACTCATATTATCTATCTAACAGTTTATGCAATTGTTCATCTAAAATCCGTGTTATATTCGTTTTAATTTTAATAACTTATGTAGAGTGTGTAATTTATATAAAAAATTTGTTTTAAATTTTCATTTTAATTATAATAAAAAAAACTAATTAAATTATAATAAAACGTCACGTAAAAGTGACGTTTCATTATAAGTTAATTTGTAGATGTTCTCTCGTCCGAGGGGGCAAAATATTTTGTTTTTTATCCTTTCAATTTTTATTTTAACACTTTTGTTGTATTTTAAATTCTACATATTTATATAAAAAAGAAACCCCAACAATTTCTTTCTCCTTTCTCCTTTTTTTTTCCTCTTTCAATTTCAAAATATAAGATCCTTTTCAGGTTAAGAAAAGGTAGAAATTTAGATAGTTTATAAGATTGAAAACATGTTGCTAACCTACATCATATTCTTCTTGAAAGTTTTTTGATCCGCTAAAACATTGATATTCATAGAATGAATTATTTTCTCGAGCGAAAAATGCAAATAGAAATATGCTCCATCTTCTTGGAATATCGTTTTTCAAGTTAAAGTAGAATGAAGATAAAATTCCAATTATTGAGTAGGACGAAGGGGGGGGAAATAGATATTGATCAGGTAATAAAATGGTAAAAAAATTTTGAAAATTTACTTTTTAAATATAAAATTTGATCTAAATAATTAATTTAATCAAATATGGAGTAAAATGAATTAAAAACTTCATTTCATCAATGTACATTATGGGCATAACATTTTATCATCACTTATTTAATTCATAGCACGGTCAATTTACCTGTGAACTTACAGTTTTGGGGCCTAAGCTATAGCTTTGGTACTCCAGCCCGGGATTATATCTTATACACATTTCAACAAGTATATCCTGCCCTTCAGTAGGGGTGCGTA